TAAAAAAAAAAAAAAAAAAAAAAAAAAAAAAACCGCTACAAGATTGGATTAAAAAATGCATACAGTAGTGGAATTGTTTCCTTAATTTCTTAAGCTGCAAAAAGTTGAGTTAGATTGTTTAACTACTCTACTTTTCTCCCTAATTGGAAATACTTACTATACCGGGGAAGGAGAAGTACTCTTAATTGGTAGGAAAAAGACTATCAAGCTCTTCAACTTAATTGACCAAGATTTTTTTTTAAGTAAATAAATATACATAATTAAATAAAGATCAAAGTGGATAAAAGTCCACTTTTTTTTCTTTTGTTTTTTTGGTTGCTAGTTGGGTGATCAAATCAAAATTTAGTTCTATACACGCAAGGTAGAAATAACTTATACGGTTCATTTTGTTCTATATTTGATCTATAAAAGCAAAGAGCTTATATTGACCGAAATTGCATATGTGCAAGCGAAAAAGATCGTAGTAAATTATCGACACGGTCAATGCATATCTTAAAGAGAGGTATACACTTTGAAACAGCGCATGAGTGGCATCTTAAAAGAGCATAATCCTCGAACCCCCAAAATTTAAATCGTCACTGACCCAAAAGAACAAAAAGTCCAAATCGCCAGTAAGAACCTAGTACTTATCTAAAGCTTAGTTGTATCGCTCTGACATTTGGTGGGCCCGTTGCCCTTTGAATTTCAAATGCGGCTAACCTTTCATACCAGAAAAGATATTTACAAACTAAAAGAATAAAATAATAATGCTAAAGAAACTAATTTTAATTATAATTTTTTTATAACAACTTAGTAATATGTCTGTTGTTATTTTTTACTAGTAATTATTTAAAAAATTATCACATTAATTAATAATAAGTTATTATATTTATTAATTAAAAGATAACAATTTTACGTCATATAAATTAAAATAAAATAATTAAAATTAGAGTTAGTGTCCTTAACAATAATATAAACATAAACAACAAAACAGCTCTAAATATAAAAGAAAATAAAAGAAGAAAGAATCCATACACAAATCATACATTATGCAAAGATAATTTAACCAAAATGGTTAGGGAAGGAAAAATATAAACACCAAATAAAGAAAATTGGTAAAAGAACAATCATCATAAAAAAAATAGTAAAGAAAATTTAACATCACTCTACTTTTTGGAGTGGTCACTGAAAGGTGAAAATTAGGGTTTGTTTATAGATTTCAAAATAACAAGAGTTTATAATTTAGGCTTATTATATATGGGTGTGTTTACGTTATTAAGTATATCCTAATTGTTCCTTATCATATTTTAATGCGATGGTTTTTTATAATAAGGAATTTTGATGTGAATCGATACTAAAAGTCAAGTGGAGTACGTTAATAGAATCACTCTTTAACGAGTTATAATGTTTTCAAACCCTATTTAATGAAGAATATTTTAATGTTTTAAAAAGTGGCATGCATTAGTTTATAGATGTCAAAACAGTTTGGGTTCAACGAATTGCACTGTACACTAAAAAGTGAGCATGTCATGACATGATAATTAAATGAACCTGGCTCATCTCGTTTATTAAATAAGATGGGCTTCACACAATTTTTTTGCACGAAATACGCCAAGGGCATCACATGCTAAGGACCTAGCACGGCACAACACAAGCACGTTAAAAACATGAAAGGTGGCCAAATTACAAGCATGATTTGAGCATGGATTATGAAACTAATTTCATTAATATGTTTTACGTGTTATATAAATATTTGTTTTATAAAGAAGTTCAAATCAAATTAAGATATCTGTTCAAAAAAATAAAAAATTAGTTAATTAAAATGAATTGAGGACACAACAATACGAAAAAAGATAATTAGTTAATTCATTTAAGAATGGGCAGAGTGAAGTATCCGGTGGAAGCATCATATTTTGAGCACTCTCTTTTACTTAATTACGTATCTCTTTATAACTCATAATTGCACTTTTTTTTTTTCTATATCAAGATTTTTTCCACTTTTGCTTGGCAATGTTTTTATTCATGAGGTTATTTTTTTTTTATTAATTACCTTTTTTGTTAAAAATTAATATTTTCATTATGAACTTTTATGGTGATAAAATTTTTACACTGATATGATAACTTTGTGAATTTTAAATTAGAATTTACAAACTCGAACGTTAAATTTATAAAAATTATGAAGGACTTTTAAATTTTAAAGAAATACGATAACATGTGACTTTTACGTTAAAACTTAAATAAAATTGTAAAAGTTACAATAAACTTTTACGTTAAAACTTAAATAAAATTATAAAAGTTACAATAAATTTGTAAACCAGCAGTGTCATGAAGGTATCATAGAAGAACCTCACATTAGATATCCACACCTGAAAACTTTTGAAACTAAGATTATAGCTATTAATAGTCTCTGAATAAGTTTGTAGCATGAGTATCACATGATTTTGGAGTGAAAAGGTTGTACTCGATGATTGGTTTTCTAAGAAATATATGAGTCAATATATATATATATATATATAGGACTCATGTACTTCATTTTACTTTCTTAAGGGAAAAAAGAAAAAAAAGATTTCAAACAATGCGATCTCACCCATTTTGTTTATTGTTTATTCTTTTTTTTTTTTCGGGTATAGTGCATTGTATTTGCAGTTTATAAATATATTTATGTTTTGTCTGATGGCAATATTCATGACCATCAGTTTTCTTCAAAAAATATATATATCTATATATATATATTCATGACCATCAGTGAATAACCGGCCTTATGCAACAAATGGGTGTGAATCTCCCGTTCCGTCGTGGACACAAATAAAGACAAGAAAAAACTAGTAACATATAACCCGCACATAGCCTTTTTTTTTTTAATTTTTTTGTCTATCAATTATTTACAAGCATAAGAACTATATCATGGTAGAAATATAAAATCAATAGATAAGGATTGAAACCGAATTCTATAACAATATTTCCTTCCAAAATGACATGTACCAACTGCCAAATATTGATCACGTCCTTGGATTTGTATTGTACAAAGATGCATCGAATTTGTGCGCCACGCTAAAAAGCAAAAGTGTGAGGGGACAAATTCTCTTTTGCCCTTTTGGACCTATACTCCCAAACATTTCCAAATAGCTCCCCATACTTCCCCTTTTTGGCATCTACACCCAAAATGATAGCCCAAAGAATCTCAGTTATTTACAGAAATGCACTCCGCACGGCACTATCCCAACCCGAATATTTGCATTTCCCAACTTCTTCTCATCTTCACCGCCCAAACCCGAACCCTGCCGACTGGGTCGGGTACCTAAACCCATACGGGTCGAGCGAGTTAGAGAAGTTCTGAGTCAACACGTTCGAGTTAGACTGAAAGAGGCCCGAGTTCTCCACTCGCTGAGTTCTGAGTCCGCTCTGTACTTCCTCTTCCACCGAGTTCCCAAGCCTCTTCGCCGGCGATTCCACGTGGCAAAGCGGAGGGATCGAAGGGGCATAAACATCACCGTTGTTGAATCCGACGGTTCCTTGGTACTGAGTCTGAGCTTGATTACTAGGAACGAGTTCAGGCACCGAGTTGAGCCCGACGAGACTCGCCCAGTCGAAATTTCCTGAGCCCAAATTGTATAAACCGAGCTTATCGTCGTCCTGAAGGGCCTTCAGAGAGCTGACGCGTGGCAATGAGAAAAACCGGTGGTCGATCGTCGGCAACGAGTCGAGTACGTCGTCGAGGTGCGACGAGGACGAGGACGACGAGCCGTTGCTGTACTGTTCTTTGCTTGTTAACGAGCTCGAAATCATCGGCTTCTGAGAGCTAGAGTTCTTCTTGTAAATCCTGCACAGCACCCACTCATCCAACTGCAAAAAAAAAAAAAAGAAAAAAAAAAAGAAAATCAATTAGCAAAATCAATTATTAATATTCACTCGTACACCCACTCATCCAACTGCAAAAAAAAAAAAAAAAGAAAAAAAAAAGAAAATCAATTAGCAAAATCAATTATTAATATTCACTCGTATTTTATAATTAGTTCAAAATTGATTTAGAACTGGTTTGTACTATATATATATATATATACCTTGGAGCTACCATGTTTCCGTGAAGATTCTATAAGGCGATACTCATGCATGATCCAGTTAGTCTTTGTTCCTTTGGGAGCTTTTCCGACGTAAAACACAAGCGCTTTCTTGATGCCCACTTTTCGGCCTTCAGTGGTGATCACTTTATCGGTGCCGGTGGCCTTCCAGTACCCGCTTCCGGCGACCCTATTGGGTCTGGAGCCATTCGGGTACTTCCGATCCCTGGGACTAAAAAAGTACCATTCTTTCTCACCAAATATAGCTTTGCCTGAGAAGAACAACGGAAAAGAAATATTAATATACATGAATCCTTGTTAATTTTTATTACAATATTGATTTTAAGAAATATAAATTCAATTGGATCCAAATCTTACTTGGTAACACCCAGGGATCGAACTTGTACAGATCAATTTCGCCGATGATTTGGAGGCTAAATTGTTGGCCAGCAACTTTTCGGCACAAGTACTGTACCAAAAGCTCCTCGTCGGTCGGGAAAAACCGGAATCCCGGAGGCAAGCTGAGCTGGGAAAGTAGGTCTGTTTCCGGCACACCCATTTTCAGATTACGAAAATCGCCGCTGTAAGAAGAGATTATTATTAATCGAAAGAGAGATGAATTCAATTGGGAAATTTTTATATGATTTCTGAATTCTATTTCTTTCTCTTTTTTTTTTTCAAGTTCCAAGATAGGGCTGTTATATTTATAGAGGGAAGTGGAAGGGGGGGATAAGTACGGTCGTCCTTGTCTTACTATTTATCCCATGGGTCCCACTGAAGTTAGTGACTTATTAACACTCGCCACGTGCCCTACAAAGTTCGACGTTATCATGCGGCCGACCTTATCCGAGAGATCAGACCCGTACGGTTGCTTGCTCTCGCTTCGGTGCATGAATGAACCCTCGCGAAAAAGATGCAGCGGTGACTCATCCAGCGAGCGGGACACGTGTTCCCAAAAAACCAAATTACCTTCTAGAACTCTTTCTTTTTTCGTTTTGTTTTCTTCTGTTATAATATTAATAATATTTTAGAGGAGGAAAAAAGGCGTTTATCACGCGTGGAGTTAAGAATAACGGGGGCTAAAATGGTCCATGGGCCGTCGGCGAGCAGGAAAGGACACGTGCCACCACGTGGACTGAGTTAGGCCGGAAGTTTTCGTCAAAACGAAATGGAAAGAAAAAGAAAAATGTGTGTATATTTGTAACGTGGCCCAAGTTCTGACGACACGCGAGCGTTATTATGTCACGTTTTAAGGGTGTGTTTGGTTGATCAATTCATGTTATGATTTAAATAATAGTTTGTAATTTATTATGATATTTTTTCTTTAAAAAAAACACACATAAATTAAAAATAATTTTGAATAATAATTCTGAATCCGTAAATCAAACGTCCACTAAATTTCTAATTATATATGGGTTGTTCGGCAGCCCATTTTTTGAATTAAAAACTCAAAAAAGCAACTCGAGTTACAATTTTATTCAAGTTTACGTTCTTTTAAGTTTGAATTCGAGTTTGGGACTAAAATTTGAGTTCAAATTTTCTCTTCAACTCGAGTTTAGAAACTCGAACTCAAATTAATTAACAATATTTTTTCTATTTTTAAAAATGCTATAACTTTTTCGTTTTAATTCTGATTGAGATGTTTTTTTTTCTATGCGTTGACAACGAAAAGATGAATAAAACCCCACCCATATATCATATTAAAATTTTTTATCAGCATTGAGTTTTTATTAAAATACTATCGAAATACAAATTTAAGTTTTGATTCACTCAAACACAAACTTAAAAAGATTTTTATCTCAAATCATAACTCAAATATATACAACTAAACAAAACCCAAGTTATAATTTCAACTCAAATTATAACTCAAATTTAACTTAAAATCTATACTCAAATCACTTAACTCAAAAAGAATAAAAGAACAAGCTCATAGTTTGTTTAGGCATGGGTTTGACTTGTGAGATTAGGGTTTCTTTCACTCATCAACTACTTTAAGCTTACAAGTATGATTTTGTAGATGGGCTTTGATAACTTTTTTTAAAAAAATAAAAAATGGTTTAATTATTGGAGTATACTTTATTTTGCAGCTGGTGATGTGGGTTGGTCAAAGGTTTGTGAGGTGGAAAGAACTGGATCTTTCTTCTTCTTGATTGAGGACATGTCGTTTTGTGAACGTGGAGAATTTTGATTTGTCGGCATTTTCTTTTATGTTGCCAGTTTTGGACTGTTTGGCGGATAAGAAAGTGAGAGGGAGAGAGAAAGGAAAAAACAAAACAAAAAAAGGAAAAAGAATATGCTAGCGTGAGACCAAACGGCTTGCACGTAGAGGGCTAGGATTCCGGTGGGTCCTTTTTATTAATTGCAAAAGGTGTATGGTTTTTGCGAGTAGAATAAATATATAATAGTCAAGAGTATAAGAAGGTATCTAGGTGAAACTGTTGATTTGTGTGCATATATTAGCAAAATGCGAGTCAATTGGTGTTAAATTAGCTTTGAAGATTGAGATTTTAGTTTATGCCACGTGCAGATTGGACAGGCGATACGTGGCACCTTTTGTGTGGCTCTGTGGGGCACTTGGACGGTTGCGATTTTTTATTAATAGAAAGTTGTACACCTGTTGTGGAAAACAATGATTTGCCCACCAACTTGATTTCGCTTCAAAGACCTTGAAGTTTGAATTACCAGGTTGAATCATGGAAGTCCTTTTTTGCGTGCACATGTATTAGAAGTAAGAATCCACATAACAAAACACAATAAATTATTAGTTAGATTTTGTGATTTTGTGATTTCTTTTCAAATTTTTATCTCTCCTTTTCTTACTATTATCGAAATTAAGACTTATATCTATTTATTTATCTTCTTTTTCATGTATGTTCAATAATATCCTGCTACATCGATTAAAATATTAATTAAAATTTCATATCATTTCTAAACATATGAGCTCAGTTTTTTTATCATCAAGCTGACCCTGAGCATCAAATTGCTTGGTCAATTAACCAAACTAAATGCCTTTCCTTGGGAAGGAAATAATTGGATATTAAATTATTATAAAGTCCACAGGGTAGCTATCTAGGTAGGCATTTTTATTATATATTTTTTTCTTATGAAACACCCTAATTTGTTTGTCACCCGTGATGAAACTAGCTATTATTTTAAACTAATTTAATCAATAATTATCCTCTCATGTTTGCTTTCTGGGAGAGGCAATCCTTTTGAACTACTGACTAAATGATTTCGTGGCATATAATAATATTATCGTATAATTGGTTGTTGTGATATATTAAGTAATCATCGATTAAATTTGTCTCCATACGAACACAAAATCTATATTCTGACGTGATTGGATAATAAATTAATCAATAGCCAATTCGTCCCTACCGTAAAATTGTTTTATTGTTTTCTTCAATAGAAAATAACAGTTTAAAAATTTTTAACCAAAAAGAAACAAGTTATAAGTTGAACAGAGTAGAAAACTGTTATGCTTTGTTCAGCTTTTAAGCTTTTTAAGTCGGGGCTGTAATATGTATTTCCTATTGACACTTATTTTTATTTTTATTTTTTAGTGTGGTGGCTAAAGAATAATCACTTCTGACAAACCAACAAATTAACACTAATTATGGAGGCTAGAAAGAACCTCTTTATTATATCCTACAACTTGGACCGTCTTTTTACAAAGAAATTAAAGTCATAATTAAAGCAAAGAATTTCGGATAAAACTACTGATATTGGCTAAAGAAAAAGTTAGAAACAACATTAAGCGTCTCTTTAAATTTTCTCTTTTTAACACTTTTGGTTAAACATTCGGCGCTCTATTAATCACACAATGTACAAAATATGTGTCCGTATTCGATGAACTCCAACTGGCTTTTGATTTTTTTTTTTTTTTTTTTTTTTTTTTTTTTTTTTGGCCGGTGATGGAGTAAAAAATTTCTTTTCAAATGAGCACAAAAACGATCGACTTTAATTATTATAGCCTCGTGCTGAACTTCCATTGGCTTAAAGTGACGGCCGAAATTCTGAATGAAGAGCATCGCATAATATTCCTTTTTCTAACCTTTCTTTAATTTTATCGTCTTTTTAAGAAACTTTTTTGTTTGTTTTGTTTTTTGGCGCATCTGTAAAGGAGTTGTTGATTTTCCTCATCGTGCTTGTTATTGAATTCGAATTGAAGTGACTTGTAACAAAGCTTTATTATTATTGTTTATGTTCATTTTTTAACTTTCGTGTCATTCAATCATATATAGCCAATTATAAACATAGCCTAGTGATTCAAATTCTCCTAACCTAAAAAAATTAAAGACAAAAATTATATGCTTGGTGATCTATAAGTTATTTTACAACTTGTTTTGTTTTTTGTTTTTTGTTTTTAAAACTCTTTGGAAGCACGAGAAACACGAGGGAACATATAAAAAGTGCCCATATATTGAAGTTACCAACAGAGTTTTTTTCGTTTTTATGTCTTGTATTTTGAGGTATTAAAAAATTTATAACAGCGTATATTTTGACATTGAAATAATAATTTAATAATACTAATAATAATAATAATAATAATAATAATTACAATAGCAGCTTCACGTTACGTTTAGTTCATGGATTAGAATCATGCGATTAGAATTATTTTCGATTTACGTATATTTTTTGTGAGAAAAAATACTGTAGCGAACCATGAACCATGATTCAAATCATAATTTGAATCTTCCAACTAAACTTTTAAAGTAACAACCGCATTGCGGCACGGATAATGGTTTCATTAATAAAACAAGGCCGATTTTATTCGTGGACTTCATCAATATTCCGACCTTTTCAAATTTTTTAGGTTTGCACTTTGTCAAACACTTGGCCAACAAATTTGAAACGTGAAACCTTCAGCAGAAACATTAAAAAAAGAAAAGAAGGTTTGAAACATGAAAACCAATATCCAGCTCCTTGCTATTGATTTTGATTGAGCTTATTTTTAGCAGCTTTCAGTACTGTTAAGAAAAAGAACATTTTGTAGTAGAGAATAATTGTGTGAAACGATTTAAATATTTTAACATATGTGTGAAATGATGATGATGATAATTATTATTATTGTTATTATTTTTTACGTTTTTAATAAAAGCCCGACCCAAATTAATCGGATTGTTTAAAACAGTTAGTAGTTTTACTCGTATTATGATCTCAGAATTATTTGTAAAAAAAAAACAAATAATTACCCATAATTTATAAATTCCTATTTCATCATTTGCGAGTCTATGGATCGTGAAGGGATAAATTCAACCTAGTTTTGTCCCCACGTGTGAATTTAGCAGCCCGTGAAACTCGCATTGTCTGCTCCACCGCAATGATATAGACTTATCAGCCAGCAAGTAATTTCTTGCTGACAAAAAGAAAAACTAAAATTTTTGTTTGAAAAAGCTTTTCTCTCTGTTTTTTTTTTTGTTGTTGAAAAACTAATATTTTTGTTTGTTTGAAAATTTTCAAAACGAGGTGAGAAAAGAGATATAGGGGCTTATGACATGGTACATATTTTACGTTTTCGTAAAAAAGAAATATATATATATATATATATATATATATGAGAAACCATGTACTTTTTTATATTATATATTTATAAATTGTACCCATATTTTTCACATTTGAACTTTCAGTTTTAATGTCACTCCATTGTCCTATTGATCACGGAAGAAATT